TTCGTTTGCATTTCACGAATCGCTAAGACCATTGGTCCAGTGACACATCCGTGGAATTCCTTTACTTCTTCGTTGAGTGTGGCATGCCTCTTCCAAAGTTAAACCCCATTCCAATGCCTCGTTGTTCGCAAACACGAAACGCTAAATTAGAGGAATAGTGCATTTGTTGGGTGTTGTAACATTCCGTGCGTACAACATGTTTTGAGGGAGAACAGCCCTATTTTACGATCAACTCAGAATGGACACACGGAGAACTACTCTTTGAAGAAAGTGTTATTTACGTGCCCAAAAGCTGTGTCAATTTGTACCACTCCACCCCACATCTTCAACCATTTTGAGAGCCTGACGGATAGAGGAATTTGTGATGAACGCACTCAATTAGGCGCTGACGATACACTAAACTGAGATTTGTATAGTTGATGGTCGATGAAAAAAAGATTGGATTCTGGTGAGAGAAGTCACTTGGCCACATATGATCGCGAATAGTCATTTGTTGTGTTTCGGGAAAACCGTTAGGAAGTAGGATGATTACCTGTTTTCATTGGTCGAAGAGAAGCGAAATTCACTCAACCGATGGCGTTTTGTTATGGCTTGGAATTAAATGGAACATACAACTCAGAAGGTTACTAAAAACTGTTCGATATCTCATGACATGTTTCACCTCATCTTGGGGCTCATCAAGTAGGTGCTGTTATTGAATCTAGCTGAATCTCTCGTCTGTAATGTCAGAGTTTTCAGCGACCTATTGAGTAGCGTGTTACGTTTAGAAATCGAACTATCTGTGGTCAGAGGCTGATTGGTTCCGTCGGAAATAGAAGACGCAGCTTTCAAGTACATTAATTTCATCAATGAGTGTAAGAACATCAAACATGGGAAGATGCTGTCTCATCTGCGTGAATTTTAGACGATATTTTACCGTCATTTTGTCTCAAGTTGTCTCATGTTGACGGGCACTTCATAATTCCTGTTTTACAGCTGGGACAAACTGAGTTTGATGATCGTTGACGATTACGTCTTTTATCAGGTAGGTCAGATTCTTGAGTGTAACCTCAGAACGCCCGAACCCTACTGCACCACCAAAATCTCAACAGGAAAGCCGGCAAGCATCTAGGCTAGTCAATCATTCAATCAATTCAGCAAAAACTGATGAGTGTTCATGCACGCCACAGAAGTATGACCGAATGCAGTCAGCGTTCAGGCATTTCATAGAAGCACGATCGATGTTGATTGGTGCTCACTAAACACCTAACAGACAGCCTGGATCAATATCAAAGTGCCCTTTAAATAGCGCAAGGCCGTTGCACCCGCACGTACTCGTTTGTTTGGAATAAAGCTGTTGTGTTCCCTTGTAGGTGAGTTCTTTTCTGGCACCAGGCACTGGTTAGATATAACATCTTTGTGAACGCGCCCGCATAGCGTTTGCTAGGAGGCTTCCGACGTGTGAGAGTTATTGGTGCACAGGTGATGATGATGGCCATAATACAAATCAGGTGTATGCACTAATAAAAGTCTTCACAGTGGCTGACAGTAGTTTACAGAAGCGATTTGCAGGATGTATAAAATAAGGGGCAATATAAAATGTGGATCAAGTCATCAGGGAACTTATTGTATGTGAGAGTCCTTTGGTGAAAGTCCGGACGGCGGGAACGTGTTTTCTCCGCAGTTTGGCTGCTACGCGTATTCCATAGTTGTCCGTGGTCTTGGAGTGTTTGGCTGACTCCCTGCTCCCTGTGCGCACACGAGTCTGTGTGTGCTGACCCGGATGTAGGACCGTTTGCGCGTACGTGGGCGCGTCAGCAGGTGAGTGGTTGGTGCGGTGCAGACAATTGATGAGTCACCCTAATGTGACGTGGTGTAGGCATGAAAAAGACAAGTCTCGTGATCCGGTGAGCGACAGTGCGCTGAACAGTCAAGTATGTAGGTGACTGGGTAGCTACAGAGTCACTCGGTCAATTTGACCGGTCAAACACCATCACGAGAGGGAATGGTAGTGAAATGCCTTGTCGCATTTTCTTGACCACAGATTGCACTCTCCTGTTTCAACTAAAAGTAGTCTCGTCGCCGACGAACGGGGTAAACACTGTGATGCTTGACGCTGATACCTTGTGACCTTGATAACGGTCATGTTTCCCAGTTTTTCAAGGACAGAAGAAAAACGCAAAGGTAAAAATGTAATGAAAACAGCGAAATGGAAGGGGGAATGTAAACGGGCAAAAACTACTAAAAAAGATTAACGCTGTTTGCTGCATAACACTTTTTCTTCTATCTTTTTGTCTTATGTTCATGCGTTGTTTATCGATTGTGAAACAAAACAAAAAAAGCGAAAAAAACCCGGCAGTTGAAAAAAACGTGGGAAAAAATGGAGATAATGGGACAGGAAAGAACATTGTAAGATGATATGTGGAGATCGCTCACGTGGATCCGTCCTTTCCAGTTACTGGCTGCCATAGTATGGTTCGTTTCCCGCGCAACAGTTTGAACAGACTCCAGCTTAGAGCCACGATATCATCACAATTCTGGCACTTGAACGGTCTGATTTCGAGGACGAAGATATGCTAGAACTTCAACCATGGAATGCAGATTCACACCGCTTAGAACACTTTAAAGTAAGCCTTTATTATCCACTCTCGAAAACCGCGTTTGAAACCGCAAGTAAAGCAACCATGTGATCGTCATCTTCCGTCAGTAATTTGCAATTGCAGACGCATATGTTGTCACATGATTCCCTGACAAGGTCGCGGCCGGTTTGTCAATCAAATATGACCACGCAATGTAAAAGTTGGTAGGAAGGAGCGGTGGAATCTACCAATTCATAACTTCCATTTCAGACACGCCACACCCGTGCAACTGATATCAGGTGATTTCAAGTGAGCTCCCACGACCTAGTAGAGTAACAGTTTTGAGAAGCAACCTGGGCAGCGTTTGAAAAAAAGAGATTGTGAGTCTCCTGAGGGAGGTGTAATTTTGCAGGTGTATCCTCACGACAAAGAGATGGTCCGTTTCGCGGTTCACTCGCGGCTCATTTCAAGATATCTCAGGGCATCCTCACGACGACAGAAGAACCAGAGGAATAGCCGGGGATCAGTTCCAGGAAATCACAGCCTGACGGATCCACACAACTGTTTCCCACAGCTCTAGGTATGAGTGTGCTGGGCTACTGAAAACTCTTTGGCTACCGGTTTCGTCCTGTTTCGGTTCATCAGGTTGATCCATTTTCCGACTTTCCGTCAACCTCATGTCCTACTTGAACACCGAAGTGTAAGCGACCGACGAAATATATTGATTTGTAAGACCAAACTAAGTCCCAGTCGATATTCTTCAACTGAATATGCAGTACAAAGATGATCTCCGATTTCATCTGACAATATATTCCTCGCACAACATACTACTAAAGTCGCTCCACAAGATCACTGATAGGATTGTGTTGAAAAATATCGGACCCAGGCGGATCTTGTGACTAACATTCAGCTAAAAGAAACTGAAAATACTTAATACATATTAATGTCCACGTTCCCTGTCCAGAAAGTAAGGAAAACAGTTTGGGCTAAATGGTATCATTGTGAACACTCTTCACAACCGACGTTTACGTCCTATCCTGAGCTGTCCTACAAATACCGATTTTCTGTGACAGAAGGATGGCCAAAGTTTCGACCATTGGGTTTTTGAAAGATTTTGTTACATCGAAGGCATGTATCGTTTTCGCGCATATTTCAAATGGACAGTAAACACTGGATGATACCACGGACTTGAGTAATACATTCTTCTCGAAAATTCATTTCCTCCTATATTTCGATTGTATAGGTCATGAAGAGGAACACAGTTGAAATCGAATTAATAGCACATACCTCAGTGTGGTCAGCCCACGCGTACATAAAACAGATTTTTTCTATGAGGTTGAGTACACCTGGTTTCGGTAAGACATGCGAGTCGGGTTGCATCTTTCATAAAATCTGAGGGATTCATGAATTAGCCGTGCAGCGAACACTCGAACCAAAATTCAAATTTTCATAAAGGAAACTACTCACAAGGTTGCTGGAAACCCTTCGACAGCCCACGACCGGTTTCGCCCTTCTTGAGGCTCATCAGAGCTAAGCATCAAGTAGAACATAAGAAAAATCGGGAACTGCGCCTACCTGGTGAGCCCAAAGTGGAAGGGTGAAACCGGTTGTGGGCTGTCGAAACGTTTTCAGCAACCTTGTGAGTAGTTTCCTTTACGAAAATACAATGCGGTATGTCAGATTTCGTGCCAACTGAAACATGAGGCGACCTGTGTGCAGCACATTCAGTTGTAGAATATCATACGCGAGAGATTCAGTTGAGTCTCTCGTGAGAACTAAATTGATTTGCAAATGAGTGTATCTCCCCAAATCTCAACTTGTTCTTATTATTGATATCACCACAGCTGGACTAAACAGCGAACATCTCAGTTCACCCTTGGCCACACAAGTCCAGTTGCAAGCAACCGTCCCCTTTAAAAGAAGAACGGCAGAACTACAATAATATTCCATTCCACGTCATTCCGCTGTCGGCGGCGGTCTAAACTAACTTCGTTTTGGTGCGCTTAGTTCACCCATTTGAGTGTCACTGACCCCCCAGACCACCGACTGACTACCCAGATCGCTTGTTTCAAGGCTTAGGATTCGAGCAACCTGATTGGCTGGTCTAACCCTTCGGAATATCAGCCAATCAAAGATTGGTTGTGTCGGTCCGCGGATCAACGAAACCAAGTGACTGCCCTGGCGAATTATTGATAACGCACTTGCCTCAAAAGTCAGAGGTCTGTGGAAAACCGAGGGAAAGCAATGCAGCAGACTGAAGCCCACCACCTCCTTGGTGTTTTGCGGATCAACTGAAATGATGTGCTGTGTGATGAGGCAAACAAGAGTAACGTGAACACAAAACCGCAGGAGCTAGGCACAGTATTTAGAGTACTATGTGCACAACGTGATAGTAACAGCAGATGGCGGTTGCGAGTACAGAAAATCCTTATTAGCGACAAAATGAAATGCTATGCTATTGACAATAACTACGAAAAAATCAATGCTATTGGCAGTCGATTTGCTTTGGAGAAGTAAGCCTACGAAACAAGGTTACTGAAAACCGAATACGACCGAATAGTTCAGTAAACGAACATAGCCAGTAAGAGAATTGACCGCACAAGTTTCTTCCGTCCAGACGAAGGTTACCGTATTTATAGTGTGTGTAGTAAGGGAGGCTTGGTAACTAATGGCGACACACCTGCTATCTCCACTGATCGTAACTGAGTTCATCTGTCGCGAAGGTACTGCACTTAGAGTGATGCAACCGTTTGCGTGCCTCAGAAACCTATTGAATTATACTTGTGGATATCCGTGTGGCACCCACAGAGTCTCTTCTACCAAGTTAGCCAATGACAAACAGCCTCTTGGCCCTCCAAGTCAGGAGGGTGGAGCAACAGTGACAAACTATTCTTTAAAATTAAGACTCCTCCGAAAAATCGCTTTTTCACTATCGGAGACCTTTGTCGCCCTCCTATTTCGGTTTTGTCACCCTAACAACATCTGAGCTCAAGTGTAACAACGAACTACGCATGTGTTGAACACAGCCAAGTGACCTTATTCGGCTCTCTTCTAATTCCCTTGCCACATCATGTTTCGTAGATCTCCACTGTAGTTGAGTCATTCAGGCACTCAGGAAAGTGACTGGTTAGATACCCCGGTACAAGTCACACCATCACAAGCCAGGATCCGCTCTCTCGTTTTCATTGGAGTCTAACTGGTTAAATCGTCAATCCTGCAGGACAGCGCTGGCTACTCTTGTGTGCAGTCCTGATATCTCTCCCAGACGTTTTCTGCGTTCCTGAAATTCAAATATAAGATCGATTGTGCTTACGGGCACCTTCGCTTTCTAGGTTCCATCGACTGTAAATTTCAGGTGATTTTTCAGCTGCTGCAACTTGTTGTATCAGTGTTAGCATAGTTCTTGACTCTGAGGCTTCTTTGTTTGACTGGGTATCTTTAAAGATTCGATGCGTCTCCATTCGTCAGTTCACCACCATAGTGTTCCCACCCGAGCACCTGGTGCCAGAAAAGAGCTCACCGACAAGGGAACACAACAGCTTTGTTCCAAACAAGCGAGTGCGTACTAGTGCAACGGCCCCGCGCTATTTGAAGGACACTTTCTGATATTGATCCAGGCTGTCTGGTAGGCGCTAGTGAACACTCATCAACATCGATCGTGCTTCCATGAAATGCCTGAACGCTGATCACATTCGGTCATGCTTTTGTGGCGTGCATGAACATTCATCAGCTTTTGCTGAATTGATTGAATGACTGTCTGTCCTGAATGCTTGCCGGATTTACTATTGAGATTTTGGCGGAATTTCAGGGTCTCAGTAGATTTCGGGCGTTCTGGGGTTACTTTCAGGAATCTGACCTTCCTGATACATAGGAACTTGGACCGGTTAAAGTATGAACAGCTAACTCTTTATAGTTTCTACTTATCCATCAGCCATCGTCTGCTTGAAAGATGCTTCTGTCTCAATCGGACGAGCTTTCAGGGTGTAAGTACGACTTGCGCTTTCACCAGCAGCTTTCGGCAATCGGAAAATCCCTCGGCCCACATTTAACGGGTATACCAAAACCCATCTGGTTATGTGGTGTTTCCGGGCAAATACGGACTAACCGCTTGTTCCCAGAACGGTCCCTGTCACAATTTGAAACAATTCATTGTAATTCTTCGCGACCACAACTTGACGGTCTGTTAGACTTTAACTGAAAGTGAACTTGTGTGCGAAGGAACTGAGAAGTCTATTTCCACCGTTAATTCACGTGAACAATCAAAGACAACAGCAACGAGAGCTGGCGTCTTGGACGCTTCGCTGACTGGTTTCTACAATAGTCTAGTTGACCGGGGGCTTCTTTCATTCGACCTGCTCAGTTTGTGTCGTGGGCTGTGGTCCACCCTAGATCTATGTGGTCCTGCCTTGAAGGATTGGCGATCCGCACGATCACCGGCCCTTCCACCAGCACTACTTATAAATGCATCCTTGTGTTCTACCTTGGCTGGGTTGTTCATACGTATGTGGGATAAAGCACGAGTTAAAGGAGACTGGAGCTTATCAACCACGCGATGATAACATTTGGAGGCTTTGGAGACCTCACACTTACCTCTGAACAACAGCTGCGGGTCTCTTCGGCACTGTTGATAGGTCACTCCTCGAAATCCCTATCTACACACACTACTTGTCGGGTAGGTTTTTTTTCAATGAATTGTCTAAAGCTTTTGCGACAGAGTTTGGTGGAGCTACCCTCTCCCTCCTTCCACTCCGTTTTTCCATCGATATCATTCATCATTGGAAGCAATTTTCAAGGCCCCGAGGATCATGGTGTGTGCAGAAAGACCACACAGATATGGAGTGAGCCACGTCATTTGAGTGTTGTCAATCCGTACACTGCGACCCAAGTTGTATTTCGGATGTCATCGCAAATTCTATTATACGTTTTACACTTTTACGGTGCAAAGCTCTACTCCAGCATTTTAACTTCCCTTTTTGTCTGTCTGGAAATTCGTGGTACAAAACTCCAGTTTGTTAATCGCTTTATCTACGTGAATGCACTGTGACAGAAGTCAACGCATTTACAGAAACTTGTGTCGTTTATGGCTTCGGAGGAGAATTTAACTGAAATGAACGGACCGGTTGTTCAAAGCAGCTATATAGACACCCTTTCTATATGATTGTATAACTTAATCTCTCTGAGATGGAGAACTTAAGCGGCTCTAAACGTCTGTTAATCGATGCCTGGCTGAAGTTTGTTCTATTAAGCACAAAAAAAAACTCAAGGCGTCAAAGTAGTTGCAACATGTATTCCGCATGCCCAACGGGCATCTACCCTCCAATCTATCTCCAAACTGCTGTTGGTTCGAAGCTGGACAGGGCTGATAACGTGAACTGGAGGTGGCTGCTTTCCGAATGACTGTTGTGCGAATTTCGTGCTCCCCTGGTTAGGCTCCACGTGATTTACGTTGCACATGGCTAGAACCCTGCGGAACGTGACAGGTGATCGGTCCCAGTAGCAATCATACTGTCACCTACTAGCCTAACTACCTGGTTAGTTTTATGTCGTTTTATGCTAAACTTGTATTGAGCAAGATTCGCAAACGATGTTGGATAAATTCCTTTTCTGACGAATTTTTCTGTATGTTGTGTTCAGTTAGTCACTGTCACGGACACAATGGTGTTGAAGTTTTCTCCGTAGGACTACCGTCCACCGTTTTCTTTTCTCTCCACTCCTACCTACATCGTTCGTCTTCGTGGTTATATGGCGGTTATATGGCACATGCATTAACTTCTTTACTGCTGCTGATTATGATGATGATGATGATGACGATGATGATGATGATGTTGTTGATGATGATGATGAGGATGACGGTGATGATGATGATGATGATGATGATGATGATGATGATGATGAAGATGACGGTGATGATGACGACGACGACGATGATGATGTTGATGACGATGATGAAGATGACGGCGATGATGATGATGACTATGATGATGATGATGTTGATGATGCTGCTGCTGATGGTGATGATGATGATGTTGTTGATGATGATGATGAGGATGACGGTGATGATGATGATGACGATGATGATGATGATGACGATGATGATGATGATGACGATGATGATGATGATGACGATGATGATGATGATGATGATGACGGTGATTTCAGATCGTCCTCAAAAAAGGGTCTGGGTTGCACTATGCAGGTTCATTGTACAGAGAAATCGCTACCAAACCCCACAACGATCCAGCATAAAAGTACGTAATCGAGGTATCATGAATTCTCGGAGTCTTGTAGGATTCAGGCCATACAACCAACAAGTCAGCAATCAGAGCTTTTACGGACAAAGTTCCTTGTGGGCGGTGGGTGTTTTTGCATCGTGCATTGATTACTTGCGCCAAATTATGCGGTTCGAAGCGATCCGCTTCTCACAGGTTTCATTGGAATGGGGTAAAGTTCGTAGGTACCAGGGCCTGGAGTATACTGGAAAAAAACAGAGAAACATGCGGCCTTAGAAACCATTAGGTGAAAAAAGCAATTCAAGACACTTTCTCCAGAGTGAGTTACATTAACACGCAAGGGTATCCTTCACTAGGACCTACTTGCAATCCGAAAAAAGCTGGAAGAGGATAAAACAATTGAGACACCTTCCGATTTGAAATATCGAGCAGTTGTACCTAATCTACGTACATTTCTGTCGCGAGCTGGTTCATTAATGTCAAAATATTTCTGAACATTGGACCGTTCCTCCCTCAAGTTTCTTCATCAAGTTAACGGTAAAGTTTGAACGCCTGGAACGGGACAAATAAACATCCATCAGGCAAATTTCTATTGAGTAAAACTCAGTTCTTGATTCGTCAAGGCTGTTTTTGGACCGGGACTTCCTTAGGTCGTGTAGCGACCCAGTCCCCACATACTTGACTGTTCAACTCACGGTCGCTCACTGGATCGCGAGGCTTGTCTTTTTTCTCATACTCACAAACACGTCACATTAAGCTGACTCATCGGATATCGATTATCTGCACCGCCTAGTCAGCGTAGCAACTACTCATGTGCCGACGCGCCCACGTACACGCACTGGGACCCACATAAAGGGAAACCGAACCCAATCAAGACACACAGACTCGCTCGCGCGCAGGCAGCAAGGAGTCACCCAAACACCCCAAGTCCACAGACAACTATGGAATACGTGCAGCAGCAAAACTGCGGAGAAAACACGTTCTCGCCGTCCGGACTTTCACCAAGGGACTCCCACATACGATAAGTTCCATTTGGACTTGCTCCCATCTCGCACTGTATTTATTTTTTTATACGTGTCGCAACCATATTAAAAACTTCTATTAGTGCACATATACCTTCTGATTTGTATTATGGCTATCATCACCTGTGCACTAACAGTCACAGTTAGTGACCTGTGTTCGCTTGCCATTGTGGGCTCTCTGCGTAATTATGACACTTTTATGCATGGCACATGGCGCTGAGTGTACACTCCTGCCACTAAATCTCACACCAGACCCAGTGTGACGGACACTTTGTGCCTGATGTGCGAGTCTTGACTGTGCTAGCGCACACTGCGCCTTGAAGAGCATTCACCATTGTTTGTCCTTTCTTTGGTTGTTGGTCTTTAGACGCGTGTTTCCATACCAAAATTTTTACATACGTTTGGATTCATCTTATCTGACTGCAACGGTTGACGGCATGACTTCGAATGAGACGGCTCTCTATTTTCATCTAATATTCTCCTGTAACGCTTCAGATGTACGGGGTTCGAACCCCGGGCGAAACTCGAATGCATTGTCTCCCATTCAGTTTAGTATGTACTTACAAGAATAACTGCGCAATGATCGGATGCAGACTATTTAAACGAGATTGATGTGACCATGAATTTTACGGATTTTACAGCCATCTAAACCTATACAAGAGGGACCCCTTAGAATGGAAGCCATCCCCGATGAGATACCAATTCCCAACGTGATCTGTCCCTACAACGAACAAAACGCGATGATTAATCACTGTGATCACCCAAGTCTTGAGCAATGTTTTTGGCGCAATGGCAGCCTTGGTCAACCCCACTTGCCTGCTCTTCATTCTGAGAGAAGGCCGCGCAGCCATACTGGGTTTCTCAAAGTCTATCTCCTTAGAAAAGACCAACCAGCATTGACAGCGGTGTATCAGGAAGGTCAAATTCCTGAAAGCAACCTCAGAACGCCCGAACCCCACTGCTTCACCAAAAACGCAAGAGGAAAGCCGGCTAGCATCCAGGCAAGTCAATCATTCAATCAGTTCAGCAAAACCTGATGAGTGTTCTTGCCCGCCACTGAAGCACGACCGAATGCAGTCAGCGTTCAGGCGTTTCATAGAGGCACGATCAATGTTGACGGGCACCCACCAACGCCTATCAGGCAGCCTGAATCAATGTCAGAAAGTCCCATTTAAGTAGCGTGGGGCCGTTGTAAAATTTTGCCCACGCACTCACTCTCCCGCACTCACTTGTTCGGACTAGAGTTGTTGTGTTCCCTTCTGTGAGCCTTTTTTTCCGGCACCAGGTACTGGACCGGGTCAGCAGTAGATACCACAGATTTACTAATCAACAAATATAACAGTTAGTTACAGCCACTATAGCTTTGCAAACGTACCTCCTTCACATAATGAACGGCTTGAGGCTTCTGCTGATCAATGCATACGGGCGAGTGGAATGTAAACATTGACCGCCCTTCAGAAGAAGAAATAGGGTACGGAGTAGCCGTACTGAAACGCGAGAAGGCACAGGGACCGGAAGGTCTGCATCCAGCCCTCTTCAAAGAAGGCGGAAAACCCCTGGTGACCCACCTGACAAAGCTTATTGGTGCTATATGGGACGAAGAGAAAGTGCCTGCAGAATGGGGCATGTCGATAATTATCCCTATCTTGAAAAAGGGTACACGGACGCTATGCGAAAACCACCGTGGCATCAGCCTGTTAGCTGTGGCATCGAAGGTGCTCTCTGGCCTTATCCTTCGAAGG